CCGCTTTTCATTACTTTTTAATGATTCGGAAAATTTGCCATAAAATGTTAATATTATCGGTAATTAACAGCCAGTCTTAGCAGTAAATCGCCTAACTGCAATAATAATATTATAGTTTTACTGCAGTAATTTTTAGTAGTATATTTTTTATAGATAATCCGCAGTATTTTGAACTAATTGTACAATCATATATACATATGTGATTACATATGTATATACAACAATTGATAAATTATAAAAAAAAAAATAAAATCAATTAAAAAATTCTCTATGGGAAAGCAAATATTTAACTTATAAAATAAAAAATTAAAGTTCAAATCACAGCCACTATTACAACAATATTAATATTATCAGAAGCTTAACCTAATTTTTTATAAAAATGGTAAATAAATATTGATTATAATTAATAATTATTATAAAAAAAAAAATGTTCTAATCGGTTGCACAAAGCTATTTAAATTAATATCAAATAATGTAGAAATTACACAATAAAAATGACACACACATACAACATAATATATGCAATATAAGTATGTATGTATATATTTAAAATTAACAACAAACTATTTTTTCCCATAGGCATTTAAAAGAAAAAATAACTATAAAAATACACTAAGGAAAATTTTTTTTCGAAATTTAAAATTTATAAAAATTTATTAAGATTCAATCTGCCTTTCACAGACTGACATCTCATATGTGTATATGTATATATATATGTACATATATGTAAATAAATATTTCGGCGGTTGGAAACAACAATTTCCAAAATTAGTTTTGGTAGCTCTGGATTTTAATTTAAGACAATTTTATGAATAGAAAGACTGAACCACAATTTAAAAATAAATCTAAATTTGGAATCGTCATTTGCTACTAAAAACAGATTTTTCAAATTAAAAAATGTTTACCAAAGAATTTATTTATATATAATTGAAGCGGAGCTGTAAGCTTCAAACTAGTTAAATCTTCTAAATTTACCAATTAATTTCGATTATTTAAATTTAATGAACATAAATAATTAATTGTTAGTCGAATATTGTCATGTACGTGTAAATTTCCGCAAAATCTTCTTTTTCTCTACTTAAAATGAACAAAATTTTTATAGTTCGGCATTGTAGTCAAGTTCAATATTATTCCAACGCTGGACCGGTAATCAAATTAATTCTATTGCATCAACTACTTTTACTTTTGCATTTACTTTTTTTAAAGAATTTGAACTCTTGATGCAATGGAAACCTTACAAATTTTTTTGAATAATTGAATAAAATAAAGTAAAAAGCAGTTGATCCAATATAGCCCAGTTCTAATCTACTGTATCGTATATATTAAAGCTCAATAATAACCAGATTTAACAATAGCAAGATCGAAAATTTTCTATAAAAATGATAGAATAAAATAATTTTGCTGAGTGTGAAATTTATTTTAAAATGAATAACTAAAATATCTCAGTACTTTTTTTATTTTCAATTTGCTTTTAAAACACACTATTCTTATTCACTACCACCACATTCACATAATGTACAAACAAAACTTAAAAAAAAAAAAAATTCCAATGATTCTGGAAAGTTTTAGACATTCTGGCACCATAACTATAAAATATACAATTGTACAAACATATTATTATAATTAACTATTACAAAAAATATTTTCCATAGAAAACAAATAATAATCAAAAAAAAGAACAAATTCTAAAAAAGCTTATTTTGTTTTTATGTTCTAAATTAATTTTCAATCTTTTTTTGTTTTTCCTCTCTATACTTGAAAAAAAACTCGTACAATATGCTCGTAAATTATACACTCATATCTCATTTGACGTGTAAAATAGATAAAATGTGAAGGCCATACGTGAGAATGCTAATCTCACGCTACAGAGAGTGACACAAGTTAGCAAATTTGTTACTCTACTTCAGTTTTAAAATCACTTACAACTTCCATTAATTCATATGCTTGAAACCTAATTAGACATTAAATTGAGAGTAGTTTTTGTGTTGTGGAAAATGTCAATAAGTTGTTCATGCAATTAATCTCTTATGTCAGTCTTGAAGAACAAAACACAATATAATGTAAATTCAAATTACATAAATTTATATAATGAATAAATTAAGTAACTTAAGTAAATTACTTCATTTAAAAGACAATTATTAACTAGGTAACAGGGTCGTTTTACTTATTACAATTTTGACGTACACGCTATACATTCGTCCTAACTAAAAATATTATCAACTACTAGTAAATCGTAAATAGGTAAGTAGGTGTTTAACAAATTAAAACGAAATGTACAACACACTGTGCTACCGTATATCACGTTCCTAGAATAATAATAATAAATGTATGATAACTATCATTAAAAATTGATTATATATGAAAATATTAATAATACAGAATTATTGTGATTATAAAACTTTGCTACTCCATGTACAATGGCATTATAAGAAATATGAGAGGGAAATAAGAGTTGAAGAGAAATGCAATATGATATACTCATATTCCTGCAACAAGTGACTTACATCCAACATATCCACAATTAATTTGAAATAAATACTAACGAATTTTGATTTATTTTTTTTTTTTGTAAATATTTTACATGGAATATGGTAAAAACAAATTGGGACTATTAACGAAAATATTACAACGCCTGATAAGTAATATTAAATGCCATGAATGGTTTATAAAATTTCAAATAATATTTTTTTCAAAACTAATATAAACTTTAAAATTCAATCAGAATACACCCTTTCAATTGAAGATTAAAAATTAATTTAAATTTATTTATGAGCTTGTGTCTGACTATGTATAAAGATATTTGAAAAAACAAAATCCATTTTGAGGCGAATTTCAAATAGATATGGTATTACTCGTAATTTAGGCTACACAGGAAAAAAAAACTAAATTTAAAATTTATTTACATATTTGCATAGAATCCGCACTACTCTGGTCTCTAATTCAAATCAAAATTAAATTTCCAACAAGTTCACAAATATTCTTCAAATATTCGGAACAACTAATTCGGAATTGATGATGAAGTACTCAAAATAATAAACTAAATAATTCAAAATACAAGATTTAAAAAATAGTCTTAAATTTAAAATTTTACAAAAAATAAGTTCAAATGTGAAGAAAAATACAAAATTGTAGAAGTGAAAACTTGTAAACGGATATTGTACCTTATTGATCTCTTCCAAGAAACTAAAAACTATTATTAAACCAATTTTGTACATGTTGCTTATTTCTAAAAAACAAAATTTCATTATTTTAAGTAAAAAGTAAGCAATATATAAAAGTTAACGTCCCAAAACATATATTATTATATTTCATACTTACTGGTATAGCTAAATTATTTTATGAAACGTTCAGTCTTCAATACCTATGATGATATCTGAATCTCTACCTATGATTACGAGGATTTTTGAAGTGCTCATGTTTTTTTTTCAAAATTTTGCGCTTTTTTCATTTGCAAATTAAACGTAACTCTTTAAAATTTTTGCATTTCTATTGTTAAAAAGTGCATTTTAAAAGCTGCCTAATTCTTTATTTTCTTACTTAATCCTTAATTTCTTTTTCATGAATGGCTACCATCTTCATTTCATCATAAAATAATTCTAAATTGCAATTTGTTTAATTCATATAACATCATTTTTAACACATATAACTCTATTTTTCTTCAACTTTTCAATTAAACCAATATTTTAACTCTCAAATCAATTCCATGACATCTTATAAAAGCTTTGGTTGCTTAAATTTCTAATTTCCATGTCTTACATGAAGAAAATTTGCTTTTAGAGTTTTTTAATTGCTTTCTATTCATTGGCTTGCCTTTCTTCTAAAATTTTTTGAAAATAAATTGAAAACCATTGAATTTATACTTATAAAAAGAATCTAAAATTTGCTTCCCCATTTAATTAAAACAGACAATTCAATGAAATTAATATTGTAGGATTGGATTTCAAAATCTCAGATTAATGTTATAGAAGCGGATTTACATTTCAAACTTCATTTAAAAAAAATCAAATGAGAAATTACACCATTTTATTAATCAAAATCTTAATTAAACAAATTGATAGAGAATTTAAAATTTGGCTTGATATAAGGAAAATTATTTCTTTTAAAGGAAGCAGCATGTATGCTCCTAGTAGCCGAGAGAAGCAAGCATGCGCTGAGTAATAGTTAGAACATTTTTACAACGATTAGAATAATTGATCAATATTTTGAAATTTACTCTAATAATAAAAAATTAATCAACTATGGGATAAGATACCGAAAGCAATTTACTTTTTTAAATTATTGTATTTAGTTTTTCAAACTTTTACTAAATACAATTGTATAGGTTTAAGGCTTAAGGTTCATATGGTATCAACCTTATCAAATTAAAATTATGAACAATGGAAAGGACAAAAGAAAATCAGGAAATTGGTACATGAAAGGAGATGCACACACATAGAAAAAGTTTAAATATTAACACTTTTCTTTTTAGCAAAATAAATAAACAAATTTAGTGGACTGGTTGACAAAACCTTGAAAAACCTTCCTCTTACTCTTCTTGAAATTCACTTTAAAAGATATTCCAACGGTAGTACCTACTTAACCAAATTTAAGCTCTTCATTAAAAATGTTTTCATAATTGCTTTAAAAAAATATTTTTATAAAAATAATTTTGTTCTGAAAAATAAAATAATTATCTCACCTGTTGATTACTTTTACCAAAATGGCAAAATACAAGTTCTCTTAATTACAAATTATGTTAAATAAACCATTATATTGCATAAGACCAAATATTTTAGTATTTCTTTCTTACTAAATTTTTGTGTAGAAAAATATTTTTTTAATCATTTTTGAATTATGGAAATGTTCACCTGTTATAAAAGCATATTTTAATTGAAAATGAAGTTAATCTAAAATTAGTATTAGTAGTTGCATGCAAAAATGAAATATTTTAAATTTTTAAAATTGTTTTTCACATCAAAATCTGTTCACTTTTAAATCTGTATCTGCATCTTATTTATTAAATATCTTATTTTTATAATATTATATTATTAAATTTGTATTAAATTTAATATGAATTTAATCTTTTAATTAAAATTTAAATTATGTATATTTTTAGGTACTAATATTAATAGTTCATTTATATTTCATTAAAATATTTATTAAGGTAATGAACCCAATCTTTTATAATCTATTTTTTCTAATTGTACCAATGGTTTTAGTTGTTCTGCAAATGTTTTCATTTCCTCACCAATTTGATCTTGGCCACTTGGAGCTAAAAATAAAATGAAACTTTTAAATTAATATTTTTGCTTTAGTTTTAAATTCTTTATTACCTAATACAGAAAGTTCAACAAGATAACTATTTGAAATTGCTTCAGTACTAAATTTTCCAGGTTCAGTTGTTTTAAATATTTTTGATACTGTAATTTTCATGCGACCCTTTCGAAACATATAACCACGATTTACATATTCAAATTCTATACGACATCCTAATTCTGTTAGAAATTCTAATACTGTTGATGTACAACCAACATCAATACTTGAACGAACTAATGTCGGACGTGTACCAATTTCAGCTTGACCAATGTAACGTAATTGATATGGAGCTTCTCCATCTAATGCTCTACGAACACGTAATGACAATGGAATCTAAAAAATATATTGTGTGAATATCGAAAAATGCAGATACAATAAAATAGACGCGGCTTGAAAAGGGCGGGCAAAGTTTTAACTACACATACATACATAAAAAAGTTTAATAATGACAAGCTAAAGTGTCTATGTTGAAAAAGGCAAAAGTGAAAATTTTGTCTATCACAAAACGTATATATGTGTGTATGTATTAAAATTTTGCTCCAAAATAATGTAGGTATGTAATTAGAAATAAAAACAAAATATTTTGGAGGACATATTAAAAGTCAAAACTTCAAGGTAAGTCCATACATATGTACATATGTAGATATGTGAGTGAAAAAATTTTATATGAACTTTAGAATTTTTATATTATGATTTATGTAGAAAAAATTTCAATGCACAATAGGCTCCAAACTATTTCCTTCTTGAAACATTTTTGCTTGAAATTATAGAAAATTTCAACTCACCGCTTGATTATTTGGCGATCTTAATGATAAACATATTTCATGGTCATGAAATGCTTCAGGTCCAGTATCCACATTATCACATAAACCTTTCAACCTAAAAATATAATATTATACTTCACATTTTTAATATATATATATATTTACTTTTGTTAAGATTAATTCATATAATTTGTATATACAATTTACCTATGAAGTAAAGCTTCAACACCTGAATCTAATATTGAACCCTGCAATAAATACTCTTGATTTGGAATAATTTGCAATGCTTGTAACAATGTATCTTGTGCAGCTTGAATTGACATTATCAAATTTATTTTAATTTTATATTTATTTAAATTTAAAAAATTAGTATTTAACCGGAAAATTTTTTATGATATTTTATAAAATAAGTTTGAGTAAACAATATGCTGTCAAATTTGTTTTGATAATGCCGGAATTGTCAAAAATGCCAATTGGAATGAAGTATCAATTTTAACGAGTATCAATTAAAACTAAAATTCGAGAATCGAAAATCATGTATTTTATTTTAATTTAAATAGCATTTGTGGTTTGTGTCTATATTAAAATTTGAAATTACGTATTTAAAATATTACCACGACAACAACTAGTTTTAAATTTTTTATAAAATTTAATTTTTTTTTTTTCAAATTTCTTAAATAATCACAAAAAAAATTACAGAAAAACCTTTTACATTAGAATATTTAAAATTTAAAATCCCATCAAGTTTTATTATTTTAAAAATTAGTAAAATAATATTGCATAAATTTTGGATTCATTTTCAACTTAATTTTTCCGAAAAAAAACTGAAATCTATATAATACCAGATGGCGCTAAATAATATGAAAAATTTTCTTTATGCTTTTCAAAAATGAAAATTGCAACATTGAATAGCAATTGTTAAATATTTTGGCAATCACACCTAGATTGGAATTATATTACATAAATTTAGGATGACCAAATATTGTTATTAATTATTTTCGTTTTTTATCCTATAATATAATAGATGGCTCTTATAACGTTGAAAAAACAACTATTTACATAAATTTAAGAATTGACAATATTAATATAATTTTTTTTTTAAACCGCTAAATAATATGAAGGAATTAAATAAATATATTAATATTTATTTGATATATTAATTTAATAATATGTATTACATGTTTTAATAATTAATTATTAATAATTGTATATTAACAAAATTGAAATTGCAGCATAGATATGCATTTCTTAATTCATTCTTAATTCTTGGTTTAAATTAGAAGAATTGCATACTTTTGGGATTAGTCAAATAATTTATATTGCTACACATATTTCAATATAATTATTTTAGTTTTTTATATAGCACTCATAATACACAACAAAAACAATATTATAATTTTTTTTAAATTGCTAAACACAAAATATGAAAGAAATTTTGTCCTCACAAAATTGAAATAGCGTTTTTGAAAGACAACTTTTAATTTTTTGAAAAATGCAAGGGTTTGTTTTTACAATGCATAATATTAGCAGGACTCAAAAAAAAAACATTAAATTTATTTCAATATTTCAATATTATTTTTCTGTTCTATAATCTAATAGATGGCACTTACAACACAACAAAAAAACAATATATGTTACAATTCATTTGAAATATAGTTTAACAATAACTGTTACATGACATTTCCTCTCAATTACTGTTGTAGAAATTCTCAAAAAAAAATAAGGAGAAATAACAAAACAAAAATCAGCAGGTGAAGAAAAATATTTTTTTATTTTATCAAAACAAAATTTTTTTTAATTGTAAGCGTAGCTTTGTCGTGATAAGATGTTTGACGGTGTGACGTAAAATAAATAAATCGGAGTTTTTAAAAATCTAATTTGCAACTAAATACAAAAAATCGTATCAATAGAATTCTTAAATTTCCAAAACAAATTTGAAATACACAAAAATCAATTGATTGAAATTTGGAAAAGATACAACAAAGAATTTTGTGTACCTACAAGGAAAATTTAATTATAATAAAAAAATTAATATTTTAACGCGTCCAAAATAGATAATAAATAATTTAATTATGAATTTAATATAAAAATAAAGGAAGCAAAAATGGTTCAATAAATTCAATTATATTTTATGCAAGATTTAAGAAAAAAGCAAATAAAAGAAACAAAATTTAATTTTGAAGGCAATCAAGTTTTCGATAGTTGAAAAAACAACAAAAGAAGAGTTTGAGTTCTCTGGAATTTATTATTGGATTGGAATAAGAAATAAGAAACAAAAATTAAAGTACATATGTACATGTAAATATGTATGTATATTAGATAATAAGTGACCTACCTAAAGTGATTTTATAGTTTTTTACTCATTTTTACACAAAACATATTAAGTAAACGCAAACTTGTTGATTAAACCCAATATTAAAAGAGAATTTTAATCAGAAATGATAAAAAATATTGCATTTTAGACTGTGTTTTATAGTAACACACAAACACATATCTATATACATACATACCTGATATTTTATTGTCTTAAAGTGTTTAATCTCTGTGCTTCCCACTTTTGTTTTAGTATTACTAAAAAGTTATTTTTGTAGTTTTTTTTTTTTTTTGGTCCAAATTTGAAATAGATAGTAACTAAGTATATAATCTTCTACGCTGATAATAACATACATACATATGTAAAATATTAACGTATATGGCAGTATAAATTAAATCTAAAACCTAGATTTTATGGGGACTGGGATTGTAAATACAAAAAAAAAATTAAAGCTTTTTCTAGTGATTATTGATGTGGTAAGTGTTTTTTTTCCTCTCATATTTTACTTTATTCTCTATATATGTAGATAGATACAATAGATGTTTTATTGAAATTATTGTGAAACATCATATTTAAGATAAATATTTATTAAATTAGTTGTTTCCGTTCTAAAAAAAATTCTTTGCAATTGAATGATGATAAAATATTTTTATCTTTTTTTATTTATTATTTTTAGCAAAAGAATATGAACTTATGTGGGTATATGACCCTAGTAAATTTATTGCAAATACTTTCTTATTAAACTTGGATGGAGTTTAATTTAGGCATTACTTATCTTGCAAATTACAATGCTTGTGAGTAGGATCGAGAAATCCAAAACAGAGAAAGGAAGAATTTAGAATGATTATTGATATAGGAGTTGTTAAGAAGAATAAATAATATAGACGGTTTTATTGTTGGCAAACGAGTTGTATTTTCCTCGTTCTACAAAAAATTTAAATTTTTAAAGCAATTCAGAAGTCGTATATATATGTATGTATAATAGCACCTACTGCCACTGTGCTTCAAAATTTTAAAAACTATGTTTAGCGAAACATTCAATTTGTAAATCAAGTAGCAGCTCATATTAACAGGAGATATTATAGAAAAACGATAAATGAATGTTGGTTATAACATCTTTTTTAAATCAAGAGATAAAATATATAAAAAGTACACGTTTACTAAAAGCATAACGAAGCAATTTAAATATAGATTTTGTACTGAACAGGAAAGTTTGCAATTTTGCAATTGTATACCCAGTTTACAATTTATAGCAGAAAGATTAATTCTGCTATCCACACAATAGCAGAAAGATTGAGTTTATTGATGGTATACCTCCTGTGTCATATGAATTTTAAATTTATACAAGAATAATTTACAGAAAACTTAAAATTAATTCTAAGTTAAAGTCTTATTTTATACAATTTACTTACTATGTCCATAATTATAAGAATTTTAAAAGATTAAGACCAAAAAATGTGAACAAAAATAGGGAATTCCATTCAAAAAATAGAATTAGACTCACCCCAGTCACCAACCGTTTTCTAGGGAGACGCTATGCTAGCTATGGCATTTTATTCTTCAATTATTTTAGTTTTTGTAATAAAATTTCAAAAATGTGGAATATTGAAATATTGCTGTACATTAGGAAAGTTTTAAGAAACTTGAGACAAAAAATATAGTACTTAGAGGTTACATGAGTAAAATGTAGCACTGTGATTTTAAATAACAGTTAGAACTTTTAAACATTTTCTCTAAATTAAGAAAACTTTCAAAGGCAAACAATGTTGTAGATTGAAATTCTTTAATATATAAATTAGAGATAAGTAGGTACTTAGTTAAAAAAAATTTTAGATAAACAAATTGCATTTTCACTTCTTTATTCAAGTGTAAATATTTGCCGTCTGGTTACATTATGCACGTGCATAGATGAACTTACTTAATAGATTACAAAACTTGATCTTATATGCGCTCTTGGGCTTATTTAATTCTTTTAATTTAACTATTTTAACAAAAAAAAAAATGTTATTTTTTTCTCTACAATAATTTGAGCTTTTCATGATAATTTTGGCGAGTTTTAGCTTTTTATACTTTTAAATATTTTCAAAGCAAGTTTTTACTTATAAGTATATCTGCTTATAAGTATGTATACTTATTGACTGGCATATTTTTACACAAGAGTATTTAAGCATTTATAAAAAATAGCAACTTATGTGTTAATAAAATATTTTTTGGAATGTTAGTAGGAGTTAAAAATATACAAGTTATGTAACATGGTTATGTTCATATTAATTTCTATAGTAGTTTTAAAAATTCGATAATGTGAAATAACCTGACAAAAAGCAATAAGTAATAGTTGAAAAATTTAATCGTACAAAAAAAATTTAGTAAAAGCTTAATGCATGGTTAAGATTAAAATTTTGTTCCCCATTTGAAAATGAAGCAAAATTGTACAAAATTCCAATTAAATTTAAATATTTATGGTACTTAGTTTATAAATATATGTAAAATTTATTTCTGAATTGCTATTTTTATTAAAATAAGGCCTAAACAAATAGTAGAAGTCATTTAAGATTAAAATTTTAAATAATGAAAATTCCCTCATAAAAATGCAGGACAATTGAATATCATAGCTAAAGGAACAAGTCAAGGCAGATGAATTAAAAAAAAAATTCTGCTCAAACTGGACCAGAACCAGTGATCTACCGGTTTTTAGACCTTGTTATTGTTAATTTTTACAAACATAGATACAATTAAGTTACAAAAATTAAAAATTTTACTTTTCGAATTTATTCTCACATTGATTCCATTCCAAATTTATTAAATTTATTTACAATTTTTGTAATTTTTAAATGATTTTATGAGAATGTTTTGTGCACTAAAAATAGTTTTCAATTTGTTTCTTTTATTGTTAGGGAACTTCCCCGGTCTTGTCTAAAATTAAATTATTACAAATTTGTAATTTTAATATCACAGTTTTACTTTATTCAATTTTCAATAAAAAAAAAAAACAATAAAAATAATTTTCTAAGTAAAAAGCAATTACAGATGGTAGAATTCAGAAGAATATAGTGGATGCATACTTAGAGTTTAGTTTAAAATCCATACCAAATAGAATTAGGCGCGATTAAAAAGAAAAGAATGTCTACAATGGACATTTTCACAAAGTATTTTGTGCCGATATACGAATATTAAGACGGTATTATAAGACTGTATATTTTAGAGTATGCATAATAATTAATTAGGTATCTGTGTTTATTGGATTGTGCCATATTTATCATCATGAAAATTTGAAAACTTCGCTTAGTTTTGGATCTAAAACTGATTGATTTTAAACCGAATCGTCTTTGATTGATTTCCATTTTAAAATCTTTTACAATTCTAAGGCCTAAAAATTTTAGCTTTTATTAAATGCTTTATGTGAACAAAAATTGGTTGGTGAAATAGGGCCCAGGCTTTATTTACTAAAATATCAAATCATTGAATAATTACAGAATTTGAATAATAAGGATTAGTTAAGAACAAAATTCATATAAAATCTTTATTATTTTGTGAAAATTCAAGCTTTGAATTTTAAATAATAAAACCAATTTAGGAACCATAACTGAATTGACCATAAATTCCATTTAACATAATCGTTAAAATTAAGTCGTTCCATTGAGTCTTTCCATTGGTATTTTAAAAACTGCATTTTTCTTTTTCTGATTTCCCCTTCATCTTTTAATCATTTGCCATTTCCATATTTCGAGTTTAAATACTAATTAAATGTAAATTTTTATGGTGCAATAAAATATTTATATACATATATACAATAAATATATTTATTAATTAATTTATACATACATACATATGTATATGAGTACGATTGATATGTTTAAATAAACAACTCAATACACATAAATACACATACAAGCTACATATATAAAAGTAGTTACGTTAAAAAATGTAATTTTATTTATTTATTTTTCTTTATTCTTTTAGAAAATGAAAAGAAAAACCTGACCATTCCCAATATTTACTTGTAAAATATTCAAGTTTATTTACTTTTTAATAATATAAATATGTGAATAAAAATTTATGTTTAAATTTATTAAATTATTTGAATATGTGCGGTTAAGTAAAGCGAAATCACAAGACTAGCATTTAAGTAACTAAGTATATAATGATTTTCCAAAGCAATAAATTTGAAAAATTAATGTGGTTTAACCAACTTTAACACTAATTGTATGCAATATGGAAAGTATGTATGTGTATTTAACAAGGTATTGCCTTATTAGAAAATCAATTAGAAAAAGTAGTTAAAAAGAAATGAGTATTGAAATATAAAAGAAAAATTTTTTTATTTATGAAATTTATTTTTAGAGCCAAGTGACATTATTGTATATACAGGATGGTTGGATTCAGTCTAAGATATTTAAACTAATTTCTAAACTTTTGAAAATCTAATGAATAAGAGTTGCGGCTAATGATCATTTGTGTTATGGGTATTAGTTTGAGATAATTCAGCCGAAATCGAAATATATTTGATATCCTTGAAAATTATTCTGATAAGTGTTTTTGTTTAGAGAAATTGGAATTCACAATATATGATTATGTAACTGCGTATATAAAGGTTCCATCAGTTTTGATTTTATTTCAATAGGTTCAATGTCAAAAGCTATCTTATGGTATTCTCGATATTTTTGCAATTTTTTTGCTTCTACATTTGGCGGCTAAGATCCAATTTTTTTTTTTTGAATTTTAACAAAACATTGTGAGATAGTTATAGAATTTCGGCTTTCGGGGATGCCTAATTAAAACTAGCCTTTTTAACAGTTAATACGTATAGTAAAATTAAGCATGAATTGACGTAAAGTATGAATGGCGAATGAATTCTTGATCATATTAGAATGCTTGGATCAAAGTTTTTTATTTATTTTTTAATTTATATAATAAAAGCAATATTATCTACATACTTGTTTATACTTATTAAAAATGTAAAATACTTTTAATTAAAAAACTTATTTAATTTTATCCGGAAAAATCTTATACTTATTTTAGGGAAACAAACTATACGCACACTCGAGTAATGTAAAAAAATATATTTTATTTTTATCAATAAGTAATGAAATTAAATTATACTTTTTTATCTATTTTAATTAAAAACTGGTTGTAATTTTAATAAGGCACTTAGATAAATTTTAAAAATAGTTGAAGAACTTATTTTTTATAGTAATAAAAATGGTAAAAATAAAGAAATTAATCTACTTGCAATTCCTCGTTAATTTATTATCACTTTGACTTTGCTTACTTGTGCTGTGATTTTATCTTTTTACAAAATATGTTTTCTGTTCATCATGTCTCTATGCTACTTTATTATTGTTAGAAAATCACCTGCTATTCACTTCTTTGAAAACATCTTAAATAAAAGCGCTTGTTTATACTTGGTTTAAACATTTTAAATTTAGCTCCATTAAAATTTTCGCCTTTTTCGATAATTGCAAAATGCATTTGAATT